TGTTTTCAGTTCAGTTATTTCCCACATCTGATGAGGTTTTCATGGATTTACTAATCCTTATTGGATTAATGCCTAAGATCTGGCCCCCACCATGGGGTGGTTTCCAAAACATGGAAAGATTTACAATCCACAGTCTCTTGCAGCAAGTAATTCTCCAAGTTCCCTACCCCTTACATGAAGAGCTACATCTTTCTGGGAATACGGTGCCCAGTAGTTTGGATTGATAACTCCATTTCTTTTATTCGAAGAAGTACTAAACATCCAGTCCTTTCTTACCTTCTGCAAGATAAATATGTTTCAACAGACCTTTAATATCTTCTCTCTGCTGTCCTTTCAGAATAATGATATTCAGCCTACCCAGTGCTCCCCAGACCTCATGACATCCAGATTCACCCAAGTTGCCCTTAAACCCTTTCCCATTATACTATTTCTATCCTGAGACAAGAAGACCAGGACCACTCATTGTATTTACAACCTGCACAAATCATGAATTTATATAGTGACATGGTGGTGCCATCTAAGAGTTCCTGGTATCTGCTTTGCTTTATTGACTGTTGCTGAGCAGTGAGGTGACATTTTTGTAGAGCAGCCTCCCACAGTCCCAAGACTGTGTCATTTCTGCCCCCCAACTCCTCCCCCTCCCCAAACCCCATCCATCTTAAGTAGTAATGGTCAGGGTAGAGCTAATTATTCTAACTTAAGAAACTAAAATTGTATGTAGGAGCAAGAGTGTCTGCCAGAGACCTCCATAGAGATGAGTCAGAAATCTCAAAGAACAGTGGTCCACAACAACAGAACAAGACCTTTACAACAATGTTTGGATACAGAAGTAGGTAGCTGGTGACCTGACGCAGTCTGCTGAGCAGCTGGGCCAGGACCACACATAAACAATTTAATCCAGCACCTCTTTTACTGAAAATGAAAAACAAAACCTTAATAAATCAACAATTACTTATTGCTGTATTTGGGGTAATAAATTCTTTAGTTTATCAGTAGCTTGTGGCTTCCATAGCATGTTCTTTGAACAGTTTGCCTTTCAGTTACATCCCCTTTCTCTCCTGAACAATAAATTAGCATTCATTTTTTTTTTAAAGGAAAAGAGGGGAAAAAGAGGATATATTACAACTTTCTCAAAGCAAAAGGAAAAATGCAACATCTTTTTGACATATATCTTAAAATAATATGAGGATAACATTCTCTGCGTGTTAGATGCCTATGCATAAATAATAAAGGACGTTATGTTATTTACAGTGTTACACAATAAACTAAGAGTGTCTCATTTAACACAATATCCATAAAGACAGTAAATAATGAAAACATCCACGTATGTACAAGACATATTTACAATAGAATAGAGAATTACAAATGATGATAATTGGCCATGTTCTTTGTCTGCCCTTCTCTGCAGCATTTCATAGGTGCTTTTTTTGTTTCTTACTAGAAGTAAGTCCCAGGTGATGGTAAGTAGCCACACTGCAGGGCCAAGAAGTGCTCAACAGGCTAAGAGGTGTGTCCTTTGAGGGGACACCAGTTTGCTATCCTGGATACTCAGGAAACTGCTTGCAATGTGTGTGAGAGAAGCAGGGAGATGCAGCATTGTTGTTTTGGACTACTGGAAAGAAGGAGCTTCCCTTTCCTGTTCCCTGATAAAGGCAGTGATTGATCTCTTAAACCTGGGTGTGCTGGGGTGGCTCAAGTGAGGAAGGGAATAACTGGGCCAAAAGGCGGGAGTAGACTTTTCTCTGTTACATGAGAACTTCTATGGAGCTGTAATGATTTACACCCTGTAAATAGGCAGGCTGTACCAGGTTGTGCACAACATAATCTAGTTATACACTCTTGAAAGAAGCCTTTTATCTTGGAAAAATTCCTGCATATAAACACATACACAGGAAAAACTCATGGCTCAATCTAAATGACATGGAAATAAACCAGGACAATCTTAACTCTGCCACCACTGGAATATTTCTCCCCCTCTTCTAAATATGTTTCTTCTTGCCATGACTTTCAGCCAAAGAACTGGCAAGCATCACACAGTGATGGCTCAAGGGTGTTGGGACTGCCTAGCTCAAAGGTCTGGGTAATGAAGCAAATATCCCCAACAGGGGAGCTGGCCTTTTCCATAGGCACTTGCTGGCTCTGCTCCATGCTGCTTCAGCCTCCAGCCCCTTGGCCAGCAGGAACTGGCTGCAGCCTGCCAGCAGCACCTGTGGCCAGGCAGACTTACTAGCTTCTGGGTGTGGACCTGACTGATGTGAAACACCCTCACAGTGTGATAAACACAAGTTGAGAGGTGGGGGTCTGTGTCCTCCTCCCGCTTCTGTGCATGCCAAGCCAGGGCAATTCCCGAATTCATCACTGCATGAATTGTGCTGTAAGGCTGGGTTCTTCACAAAGATCTAAGGGCTTAGGCAGCCATATCCCCAATTGTATTTTCTTGTTCTTAGGTCCATGTGAAGTCTCCAGCCTAATTTCATGCTTGCCCTATAACACACTGTGCATGTTCCAAGGGGGAGGAATAGCAGGAACTGCACAGCAATGTGACTTTGAGGCACTGCAACAGAAGAGGTATGACATTTTTCCCTAGACCTATACTAAATAAATCTCACATGTACAGCTCCCAAATACGGAATTGCTCCTTCATTTTTTACTGTCCCTCCATAATAACAGTGTTAATAGTCAAATAATCTACTCAATGTCAGCGGATGTTCCCTTTCCATCCTGATTAATCTGTCTGGGCTATTATAGATACTTCAACGAGAGCTGGCCTTGTGGTTGATATATACTGGAGGAATTTACAAAAACCTGTGTTATAATCTCTATTCTGCCACTAAGATGGGTGATTTTGGGGCAAATCTCTTGTTTCTCTGCCATACTTTTTCTGTTTTATCTGTCCTGCAAGGCCTTTGCAGTGTCAGAGGCCTTCCTGAAAGGACAGATGTTCAAGTGCCCACAGAAACTCAACAATGAAAATCCTTTGGAAACTTGTTGCCTTCATTAGGAAAGCCCAACTGGCCCTTTGTACTACTGAGTTGCAGAGTTACTGGAGAGATGGATATTCTGCTGCATGGGATTGCAGATAAGAAGGCATGACTAAAGGGATGAAAATGAGAGTATGATGTCTAGAATTTGTAGAGAGCTTTTGTTTCAGTCTGCAAAGGCAAAGTGTGTTCAAGTACATGCTAGCTAGGGAAAAATGGCAAAGGGGACTTAAGTCCAGACAATATGTATTTGCCATCTCCCATAGATTTCTCAAATCAGCAGTGCCATTTCAGCCACCACATAGCCCAAAGCTGTGCTAGTTTCCTAGCCTTTTGTCCACTAACATCCTAGTGGACAACTTTTCTTTCCTATACTAAGTTTTTTTTGTTCATTTTCTGCTGAATCTGGTGTTCAGGTAGACTCACCTGTGTTCTTACTAATGTGTTATGGTTATTTATATAGTGAGGAACTCACTGATTCTTGTCATCCTGGCAAAGAGCTTTTTTTGCTATACTTTGCTTCCAGGTCTCAAATCAATAGGACAACTTGTTCAGCAAAACTCTAAGGCACATGCTTAACTTTTTGCATGTGCTGGAGGTGTCAATGTGAGTCTAGCACATGCTGAAGGTAACTTTTGCTAGGATTAGCATAAGCATATGCTTGAACAATTTACTGAGTTGGGACTTTTGTTCCTCAGGTTTGCATCTCACAAATTTTCCTTGATGTATTTCTCTTCATTTAACTAGGACCAGAATGTGGCCCAAAGGATGAGTGTAGTTTGGCTGAAATTCTTTTTCTCTTGACAGGGCTCTTATTTAGAGCTCAGTAATACCTGTAAAACATATGTTCTCATTTTCAGAATCCCCAGAGTCTAGGAAAAACATTTGTTTTCCACATCAATCCTGAGTCAATGCTGTGCCAACTGAACACACAACAAAAAATCAAAAGTATAGAAGAGGCAGAGTGACCCTGACTAAACTGATAGGAATTCAGTGCAAAAGAGGCCATTTGCTTCTGTCTGGATGGATGCATCTGCTCCAGCACTGACAGCATCTTTGTTCATTACCAGTCAGTGACTTCAAGGCTGCCACCGGCTATATAAACACTGGTATCAAATAGTCACACATGGGCTGTAACCCACATGGTGTGCTTGCCTTCATAAATGGGCTCTGCATCAGTCTTGCCTCTCTCAACCCAAGTAATGGAGTCTATAAAGTTGAGTGGAAATAAGCTCCATACATCTGCTTTGTCCTTCCTATGTGCCTATACATTTTAACCATCCAGCAAATCAAGTTCTCCTCTGAAAGGCCTTTCTGTGTCCAAGAGTAAGCCTTACTCCAACAGCAATTCTAACAAGGTATTGCCAGAAGCTTGTCAGGATTCTTTCTGAGGAAGAGAAAAAGGGGAAGAAAATTGAGGGGAAACAATAGAATAAATCATGTATCGTAAATCAACATTAAGAAATAGAGGTGAAAACTGATTGCACTTTTATTAGTGGCATTTGTTTTCCAGCTAGATCTCTTCCTTGCTTGATTACAGATATCTATTATATTTGCCCCATCAACATAAACTAATATAAATGTTTTCTTTTTTTTTTCCTTTTTTTTTCCTTTTTTTTTTTTTTTTTTGTTTTCTTTTTTGTTTAGATAGAGTATTGGGTTCAAAGCCTCAGCTAACTTAACCCCATTTCCTAAGGGATAACTAGAACAATTAATATCTGGAAAATAATGAAATGGCAGCTCCTAGTGATTACAAGCTGACCTCTGATTAATAATATATTTGGTTTAAAATCACAGTATTACTTTCTTTCTATAAGTAACATTATTTAATGCAGGTTGGCTTTTTTTTTTTTTTTTTGTCTGTTTGTACGTTTTTTGTTATCCTGCTGTATTTAATAGTAGCATGCTGTTGGATCTACTATTATCCCAGTGCTCAAAGAAGCAAACCTTTTGGCTGGCAGAGAGCAGACAAAACTCATCTCATATACGGAAAGCAAATAAAAGTTCTCATATAAGAAACTTTTTTTTTAGCTTTTTTTAATCTTTTTTAATTTTTTTTTTCTTTTCTTTCTGACTCTGTGTGTGTGTGTATATGTGTGTTTTTCTGGCAGAGTAGGGTGGGAGTGCCATTACAGGGCTTTCTGATTTGGAGACTCTACAGCAAGCGACCAGAGGGACTTCTGCAATTCTTGCAAATCATACATCCAGTCATTATAATGCAGTGCACAAAAAAGCTAGGACAACTGAGGGCTAAAAGGTTTCGCAAAATACTATGGGACAGCCATCATTGTAACTGTACAAAACTTGCTCTCAACTTAACATAACATAAAGGCACCATTGATATCTTTCCCCATTTTTGAAATACTGTAAAAAATTGCTACATATGGCACATAACACATTTGTACATACGTATATTTAATTTATAAAAGTTTTTCTTTTTTCCTCTCCTGTTTTCTATCAGCGGAATTGCTAAAATAAAATAAATCGTTTAATTTAAAGGTGGAATACTTCATTATATAAAATAAAGTTTTACATGTGAATCTATGTGTTTTATGTTTTATACAGCAATAGGGTCTTGGTTAGCTATCACACTGGACAACCTTGCTTGCAACTCTTCTGGTGTGGAGAAGCGATTTGCCGGGTTAGTCCTGGTTTCAGGCAGTCGGAAGGCAGTGGCTGGCTCCAGACTGGTTGCCCCGGGGTTCGGTATGCTCAGGAATGGTGTATCCTCGCCTATTCTTTCATCTTCGGTTTCGGTCTCAGAGCTGCTGCTCTCAGAGCTTGTGTCAGAGTCCACTTCCACCCTGCTGGAAATGTGGCTATTGGGCTTTGTTCTTTTGACCCTCCGGCTGTTGGTGAGTTTCTTTGGAGGCTCCTGTGCTGGTTCGTACTCCTGCGTGGTCTCATACTCCTCATCCTCCACGATCCGCAGAGGACTTGGTGGCAGGCTGTTGCACTCATGGGTGGCATTGTGGTGAAAGGAGTTGAATTGCTGAAGGTGGTGGTCATACTTCTCATGCAGCTGCAGAGGAGTCACCAGGAGCAGGGGTCTCTCCTCTTCTATGAAGGGACTCACCGCCACTGAAGGGATGGAGACGGTCAAGCTGGAAGCCGGTGGTGACATTGTGGAGGGGCGGGACTTGGGAGAAGTTGGAGTGTGAAAATCAACGGGTGACATGCGAGCTGGTGTGGTCATAGCTGAGACATACCTGAAGAAAAGAGATGGGGAAAGGTTGCGAGCACAGGAGCAGTAGTGACCTGTGAACACAGCAGCTCATGTAGACTGGGAGAGAAATGGCAGGGATCCCTTAAGATCCCCAGCATCCTCACAGAGGGCTACTAAGGAACCTTTCCTGCTCCTATTAATCCTATAAACTGCTGACTTCTGGGACTCTGGGCAAAAACATTTGAAAGCAGGAGGAGTGCAGCAAAACTCCCAGATCCCAACCATAGAGATGCTGTAAATTTTTTGCCAGAATAACTTTCTGGAATGAATCCAGGAATGGGATTCAGAGACAGACAGGCTGCCAGAAACAAAATGCATTTGCAAGTATTTTCTCAAAAGGAAAACAGCTGCTGCACTTCTGGAAGGATTTGACCAGAATCTGGGGTACATGCAAACAGACAGAGGGAAAGAAAGGAAGGGAACTGAAGGACAGTCCTCTTGGGGCTTCACCCTCTTCTGGCAACCAAACTGTCTCGGCTAGGGAGGAAAGTAATGTTTGGATAAAATCTAGAGCCAGATTCTGCTAATTTTAATCACCAAGGGTAGTCAGAGAAGCATTTGTAGCACCATCCCAGCAGCTTTGTCCTGCTCCATTCCTTGGGTGCTAGTTACCCTGGCTGGTAGATCTATCTGCAAAGAAGCAGAGAGTATCACTTGTCCTCATATGGGAACAAATGCTGAAAGACAGGATTATCTGGCCTAGTGCACATGATTTCTCTGCAAAATTTGTTCCCTGTTCCTGTGGGAAGGGTAGTGCTCAGAAGTGATTTCTGAAAATGAAGCTCAGGTGCCATTACAGGGTTTGTCCCAAAGAAACAGAACAAAAAACATGAAGCTCTCAACTAGTTTTAATCAGTAGACATGCTATGAGGTCATGTGGATTCATGCCAGGTGAGGATCTGCCTAAAACCACTTGATCAAAAGCACGGTGCCCAGCATGACACTTTGCAAGGTCTGGATTTGCTTTTATTCTTATCCTAAATTCACCTGCCTGAATTTCATCTGTGTCTAAAGTTAAAATAATTCTAAGCTTCATCACAGGCCCATTGAGAAAAGCTATATGGCTATGATTGATGTAGTTGTTTAGTTTTCCCCAGTGGCTTATTTACCTGAGCCTAAAATTATCAAAATAATCCTGAATCCAGCTTTCTTTTCCAATCTATGACTCAGTTGCATATGTTACACTTGATAAAAATGGAGTTATGGGAAAAAGGAGAAAATGGGACAGATTCTGGATAGACATGCAGTAGCATAAACTGATTTCACTAGAGGCGCATTGATTGCACATTGATTTACATGAACTGAGGAGCAAGAGAAAGGAAAAATACAAACCTGGAGTTATGCATGGGAATTAATCAAGTTGGTTGTGCAAAGGGCAATGAATAGGTCTGTGCACTGGATGAATTAAGTAATTTTTCCTCCTCCCATAAGTGAGCTTTTAATCCCTTTCACATTTTTAATGGGCATTGTCTGAAAAACTGAGGCCTTTCTGCTTTCCCAGCTGGTTCACTGTCAGATATACATCTTTACGACACACCGGATTTTAGCTAAACTGGTTCTGTTAACGCACTGAGTTGGTTAAATGTGTTCAATGTACTGTGCAGGCTTCCAGCAGTGTCAAGTTACTCATACTGGAGTGTTGTGCATTCACACATTTCTGGTCTGCTCACCCACACCCTAACAGGGCAGTGCTAACTAGCTGCTGTCTGCAATCTGAGGCTAAGAGCTGAACTCATGCAGCTCTAGCCCACCCTGAAAGGAAGGTTAAAAGCTGATTGATTTATCCAGCTTCATGGCCAACAATGCTGGCTCAGTGAAAGGGGATCAGAGCGTACCCATGGCCATCCAGCACACATTAACTAGTTATACGCTGCCAGCTTCATTATATAGTCCAGCCTTTTGTGCAGAGACAGTGTTTTTTGATCTTCTCTCCTGTAAGACAGCTAAGGACATCCAAGATAAAACTGCTTGTGCCCTCTGCTTGTGCACACAGGTGGCAGGGCGTGGGATCCAGCAAATGGATGAGGTAACGCAAAAGAACCCCTTGTAATGTCTGTTCAACTTAATTTGAAAATTGAGGGAGTACAGCCTTGGTCTAACAATTCACAGTACAGCAACATTTGATGGCTTCAGGAAGTAATTTGTCAGCTCCTACATTCCTTTATGTTTCTGAGTAATTTTTAGCTCCAAATAACTCTCACTTTCTCCCTTATGTACACACAAGGAACAATTGGCCATGTATTTCCTGCTTGCTAAAAATAGATGAGGCCTGCAATTAATGCCCAGGGAACTATCATCTCCGATGTTCCAAATTTGTGATTGCTTCAGGCACAGGCTAGGCTGTCAATGCCTGATGAATTATTACAGAAGTTTTGCTGCTTCTGACCTATAATACAACCTTCAAGAGACACAGTAATTGATGAAATGCCTTCATTCTTCTTAGAGAAACAAAAAGGAATATGCTCTCCCCTCTCCTCATCCCCTTCCCCCTCCCCCCCCCCAGTTAAATCTAAACATTTTGTATTAGAATGATGCTTTGGGTGTCCCATGCAATGCAGGCAGACAGCAAGAATGGTCTTAATTTCTCACATGCAGATGCCCAAATATACTAAACTGTAATACTCACCATTGGCAGGCGTGTGGCTGTGCATCCTGCTCGGTTCCCAGGCAGGAGACAACATGGTATTTACTGTTACAGGTCCTGATCCAGCAAAGCACTTAAGCACATGCTGAGCTCTACCCATGTGAGTAATCTTGCTGATTTCAGTGGGCCTACTTGCACGATTAAAAGATAATCTTGTCAAAGTGCTCTGCTGGATTGGAGCCATGGCTGTTTATGTCATGTGAGCCACGTATCTTCAAATTAAATTCCATGGTAAATAACACATAATTTTTAATGAGAAGGCTAGTTTATTATCCTTAGCGGTACTACACTCAGGGTCCTTCCTCAGTGGACCCTCTTCCTGCTGCTTAGCAGTTGTTGGTGTGGCAGAGGGAGTCCAGCAGAAATGGTGTTTGCTGTACTTGCACAATCATTTTTCTGAAAGCCACGATTTGTCTCCTACACAACTCATACTCCTTGGGGATTGCCTGGTTGCATTTCTGGCATCATGGACACTCCACAAGGCCAAATTCCTTGTGATTTTGAAGTGCTCAGATAACTGGTCCATAACCTTTTGTTTTCCTTTTCTTCTGCCTAGGATTCCTGGGAGAAAAACTCTTTTTAAATGTCTTGCGTCTTTTCAATCTTTCTTTTGCTATTCTGGGGCCATCTTGAAGTAAAATCCTAGCCTAAACCTGTGAAGGATTTTTTCAGTAGAAGTTTTTTGGCAACTGATGTACTTCTAGGCAGATCTCAGGAACTGATGAACCAGCCTTTTCAGAGAAAAAATTACGTGGTTGGAAAACTCCTGGCCAGCTTTATTTATAAATGTTCCTGATTTAATAATGGCCTGAGTCCATCAGGCTTGCAGTTTGTGTTCCTTGCTTTTATTTAATAAAGGGTTAAGGGAAGCTTTTAAAGGGTTAAGGAGCTGGAATATTACAGAAGTTAGGTGGTGGCATAATTTATATACTTCTTAGGAGTCCTTAGTGCCCTCCTCCTGTGGACCAATACATCACTTTCTCCCAAAAATCTCTCAGTTTTCTCACTTACATCTTCTAAGAAATTGGTAATTAGGCAAAGTTCTGTTTATAGTTTACAATGGAAATTTCTGACTAATTACTCCAATGGAGCTTTTCCAAGTGTGAACTGCTGGCTAATAGGACTAAATCCAGCAGAGGCAAAAAGGGAAGAAATGCTTTTGGTGGACTTTAAACTACTACTAAGCTCTCCACCTTTATGAATATGGAGATTTATGCCCTACGTGAACACTGGCAGTGTTGCATTTTCTCCTGTGCTCCCAAGCTTTGAAACCATCTGGGAAAACACCAGGTCTTGCCACCTGAAAGCAATGAGGTGGTGTGTCCTACCTTTCACTGTGAGGAGAGTCTCGGTAGGAATCGGGGGTCTCTCTCGCATGCCGGAGGAAGCTGTTGCCTTCCCGTGGCCCGCCGATGCCGTTGAGACGGCCGCGGGGCCCTGCTGGGCTGGCATGCCTGCTGTTCTCCATGGAGGAGCTGATGAGCACTGAGTGGCTTTCAGAGAGGATGCTTTCGGTGTGGCCATTACTCCAGCTGGAGAGCCGCAACCAGGAAAAGAGAAAGGGAGAGAGTGAGAGTGGGCTTTGGTGGCAAATGTGTATCAGCAGAAGTTTAGCCAGGGAAAAGAGGGGCTCTGTTGCCACTCAGGATCTGCTGCATAACCTTGGGGTTGCTAACTGGAGGTTCAGAGTTTAGCATATTGTACGAATCCACAGGCATCAAGGTGATTTTGCATGTATGGATAAAAGGCGAGGGAAGGAGGAAGAGTTCCAATCATCAGAACTGTCACTGATTTAGCAATTTGCATATGCTAAAATTCACGGTGACTCTATTGGAATGCCACTTGGATAATAAAGGTCTTTGTAAATTCCTGAGAAGATAATTAGTTGGGTGATATGGCATCAAATATTGTTAGTCTTAAAATGAAAACACTACGAAGAGAGCACAGATCTTCCCTGGCTTGTTGTTTTACGCATCTTTTTGGTTTTGCAACAGCAACAGATCAGATATTACAGCTGCTATTTGCTTTCCCCATCCAGTACCTGTGGCTAGGTGTCTGGGTGACTGTCACGGAGTGATGTGTTGTTGAGGTGTAATGGCTTGTAGAAAACGAGGTCTCTGTTTCTCGCTCGATGACATGCTCACTGGAGATTACATTTTTCGAAACGTACTGCTGAAAAAACCCAGAAAAAACTCAGGTTTACAAACTGTAATTCACAGCACATTTGTAGACATAATTCCCAATCCCTCCTTCCCAGATTTAAGCCTTTTATATGTGTCAAAGCACAAATTTTGTGACTTAAATATACGTAGAAACCATACTGACACACTTGAGTACATTCATGTAGACCTCTGTGTACATAGCCCATCTAGACTCAAAACAGGAGGAGACAAATGAGGAAGGTAGTAAAGGTCTGCATCCCAATCAAGCTATAAAAACGTATTTAACAAGAGAATGGGAAGTCCCAATAGACAGACATGTGGAAAAGCAACCTCCCATTACCATCAGATACACCGAAAATACTATTCTCTGATGGAGAAGACGGCAGCAGTCTGTGATTGCAATTTTTTCTGTGTGGAGAAAGCCAAGAGGAATCAGTCACCAGCCTGTAGCAGTTTAAAAGCTGTGGGGTGAGCTTTCCTGTGGCACTGGCAGCCTAGGCTGAAGCACGTGCAGTGAAACCTACATTCACGAGCTGGACGTTATCCGGCGGTGGGTTGGGGTGGTGTGGCCCATTGGCCATGTTCATCACGTTGTTCCTTTCCGAGCGCAGGCTCTGCCGAAGCCGGTCGTGCAACTTTTTCCTCTGCTTCCTGTGCACGAAACATGGAAACAATTTTAACAGACAAAAGGAAAGCAGATGCACCTTTCAGCACACTGATGTTGGTGATAATAATATAGCATCACTTTTTTTTTACCAGTGTTTTCTCCACTGCTGCTAGACCTTAGAGTAACTCTGAAAACCTAAGGTCTAATTGCAGCTGGAGCTGTGGGGACCTGCATAGGGGGAAAGATATTTGGGATCCCTTCCAGGAGTCAGCAGGACACAGGGGGACAGGAATAAGTGAGAGGAAAAGGGAAGCCTTTTCTAAACAATGCTCTGTCTCGGGAGTAGCTCTTTTCTGCACTCAGAAGGGAGGGGGGTGAGATTTTAACCCAGACACCTTGACACCCTCACATGGGCCAAGGCAAAGTTTCTGACAGCGCATTGAGTTATGCCTCTTCATTCACCACAGGGAGCCAAAGTGTCTGTGTCTCAGGGCTTGCTTGCAGACACTGGAACATGGTCTTTGTGATGTGGCAGTTAATGATTTTTTTTTGGTGGATTCATCCCCTGCCTCAACAGTGTACTTCAAATATAGAAGTGTGTTAAAGAAGACTGCAGAGGAAGCCTTAGAAATCCAAAGTGAGAGTATATGGGATAGGCCTGAGCCTGCAGACTTTCTGGCAGCTCTGGAAGGTTTTGTTTCAGCAACATCTGATTTGCTCTGAAGCCTAATGATTACCAGGTGGATGCCATGGCTGCTAATGCATTTAGTAGAACTGTCCATGTACTAATGACATGATCTCTGACTGACTTTGATGCTTCTACTGATTCCTGTCCTTAGCTGCTGTTTCCCACTTACTAACAACATGTAAGTCCTAGGAGGAGTGGCTGTGGGAGCTGGGGCTGTTCAGCCTGGAGAAAAGGAGGCTCAGGGTTACCTCATCACTCTACAGCTGCCTGAAAGGAGGCTGTAACTAGGTGAGGGTCAGCCTCTTCTCCCAGGCAAGTATCAACAGGACAAGAAGAAATGGCTCAAGCTGTGCCAGGAGAGGTTCAGGTTGGACATCAGGAGGAATTTCTTCATGTAAAGGGTTATTAAGCATTGGAATGGACTTCCCAGAGGAGTGGTGAAGTCACCCTTCTTGGGGGTGTTCAAGAAATGACTGGTCATGACACTTAGTGCCATGGTCTAGTTGATAAGATGGTGGTCAGTCAAAGGCTGGATGCAGTCTCAAAGGTCTTTTCCAACCTAAATGATTCTGTGATTCTATAATCCTTCCAGCTCCCCTCAGAAGAACTTTTCAGAAGATCATTACAAAGTGTCAGCAGTAAAACTTACAGCATAGTAAAACCTGGCTATGCAGAACACACTAATTAAAACACCAAAATAAATAACCAGAGAAAGGGCTATTCAATTTCAGACTTAATTTATAAATACTACCCAATTTTCTCCCATTACACTGGAGAACTTCCACCGTACTGTCACATAATCCAGGGCAGTGAAGGGAGGATGCAGGCTCAAACACACTCTGGAATGCATATGACTTTGGCTGTGGCAAAAACTAAAATACATACTAAGCCATATGCAGAAGTGCAGATAGTCATGGCAGGGTAGGACAGTGTAAGATAACTATTTTCAATCCTGTTTTGAACTCAAGGGGACTATTCCAAGCTTTGCAAAAAATGGAGGAGTGAGGGAGGGCAATAAATGTGTTGAAGCCTGATAGTCATGAAAGCTTAAAGACAATGGAAACACGACTTGACACACGGCATTTTACATATTTTCTCTGTGTGTATGTGCCTGGATAGTGGAAAATGCTTAACTTGCATCACATCACATGACTGGCCTAGGCAGATACCTCTGTCTTGGAAATGCTCCTGTCTCAGAAGGATACAGTCTGTAGTTTATGTAGGCTTTATGCTTTGATGATAACCAGGCTTAGCTTTATGCTAAGATGATAACCTATCTTCTTAGGACATATAAGCAGTTCAGGTATACAGAGAGCACTGTGTCAGGAGACATGTGAGCTACCCAAAGACCTGCTGGGCTCAGAAGCAGCACTCAAGCAAGGTTTTAACTTGATTTCACAGCTCCCCTTCATGAGGCTCTGGAGACCTTGGGAGCTGAGAACAATGGGAATTCCTTAACACAGTAGAGAAAGCGAGTTCTGGAAGGAGCTTGAGTTTGTCATCTACAGGACTGAAATCCTGGCACACGTAACCCAGGAATCCATCCCTAGAAAATTGCATTACTTCCCACCTTCAGTGACCAATGTATGTGAATTTGCATGCTTTGATCTGTGTTGTTTATCCTGTAGTAAAAGGACACTAACTAAAAAAAGAAATTACTCCACAAAACTGACATAAAAGAATAATGGGAAAGCTAGTGGGTACTAAAGAAGCTTGTATCTTCAGGTAAATGATTTGCAAATAAAGTACCTCTGAATTAAGACTCAGTGACTGAAGATACTGCCTTGCAATTTATCAGCAGTATTTCTTGCAAGGAGATCCACAAAATGAAAGCTATTACATTGGTTGTTCTCCTAACACTACTCCAAGATTTCTCCTTGTTTCTGAGTTTTCCGCTATTTAGAGAAAAGAGCATATGCAAATCACCTCACAGATACCAGTCTGGCATTACTGCTGTGTTTGGAGGCCCATGCCCTGACATGGCATTCTCATCAACTGTTTTTGAAAACATTTAACTTTTGGTTCACAGTGATTGCTGATGTCTGGGGCAAAAAAACCCTGATGGATTCTGCAGAAAACCATACTTCAGATCCTGACTATGTTTGTTGAAATACATGGGGATGTGATTTCTAAAAGCACTAATTGATCTGATTTTTTTTTTTTTGTGACTGTTTCAGTTGCTCCCTACTGACCACTGTGGGAGCAGTTGTGTGTATGTGTTTGGATTCTAACTGAGAGGAACAAATGATCTCTCTCCTCCCCCACTTTTAACACATCCATTATTGGTGGGGCTTACAGCAAAAACCAACAGTCCAACTGCCAATCAGGCCCTGAAACAGTAAATCAGGTTTATACAAATGTGGAATATTTATGATAAGGGTTTTCTGTGTTTTGGTGGGGAGATTTATATGGACAGCCAGAAGTTTTGGCAGCAGCAATTCTGCTGATGTTCTGTGTAATTTATGGTCCAGAGTGCCTCATGCATGTTTGAGAGTCACCCCCAGTAATTTAGAGACTCACAGAATGTCCACTTTTGCATTGAGAGCACTTTTGTGTCCAAGTTTTTGGCCTTTGCTGTATAGTAACTTTTAGCATCATTAATTGTGACTCAAGTACAAACAAATTAGGCTTATATATAAAAATTACTGCTGGAAAGCATCATGATTCCAGTGTTGGAGTTTGTTCATTTTCAGCTGAGGAAAACAGCTGAAATGGGTGATAGAAAAGAAAGCAAACAAAAAGAAGACAAAAATTTGCAAATTACATTTGAAGATTGAGAAACCTTTCAGATACCTTTCTTAATTTTGCACTGCTGGTGGATATGGAGACCCACATTCATCTGGCTTGAACCAGAGTACCCTGGTCACAAGCTTGTCTCTTAAGCTCACCTCTAGAGAAACCCAGATACAACCTTAGGCCCAGAAAAGCTACAGTCAACTGGGAAGGCCCTGACCAACAACCACAGGTACGAAATAGAAGAGAAAATTTTACTTGGTTTTGCAGTAGGCCACCACACACATGATGCCAACTACTAGAAGAGCAATGCAAATGCCAGTTATGGTCAGCACCCGTTTCTGGTACAGTTCCTCAGCTTCTAGAAAGGGACAAAAACAGAGAAAGTCACAACATGGAGGATGGCTAGGCAAGGAGCACAGAGTCAGCAGCTGTCATGCTACAAACCACTGCACAGATGCACACAGCCACACCGAGACACAGCCACCACACTTCAGGCAGACTCATTATTGACTGCGAGGAGAACAGGACTAGACCACAATACCGGGTGATGAGAACAATTATCACAATACCGGGGATGAGAACAATTACAAAATTACAGTCAAAAGTCAACTTTTTTTTTTTTTTTTTTTTTTTTTTAAGGCAACAAGAATAATATCTAAGAAACAACTTCACAGTTGACAAACACAGCATTTGCTGGAAATAAAAATGCAGTGTGGTAAGGTAATAACATGAATTTGCAAATGCTTTGGAGGTTTTGCAAAGACAGCTGGAATGAAAGCCATTTTTACAGGTCTTACGAGAATTTTTTTTTTAAATTTTTTTTTTTTTTATTTTTTGGATTGTTTTCATATCCAATATCCCTCTGGTCCCATGTCAATTTATCTCTCAGCTGTCTTTACAGGAGAAATTTCAAAATACTCTTCTACATTTGAGACATGAGCTTGGCTTGTAATTATATCACCAATGGAAATGAAGACAGGTTTTGAGCTCTGGTCATAAAGTTCAGACTCCAGTGCTCCTCCTAAAACACAGCAATATCAACAATCAGCAGTGCTTTGTGTGAGAGAAATGTGGAGTTTTAACTTGCATCCCTTTGTGACCAACAAAGGAACTGTCTATCTAGGGTGGCAGCTTGCTCAGTGATGACAACTTGTTACCGATCTCATTCATTGGAGATATTTCACTTTTATAAAGGTGTTAGTTGCACTGCTAATGTTTGGGCTGGAGCTACTGATGCTTTCTAGCCTTGCTCAAGCTTGGCAGAGAGCATTGCTGAGTGCTCTGCTGGGGAAATGTTACGTAAGGAGCTCCGAAACAGAGGCGCATTCTGTGTTGACGCTTTACAGATGTGGATTTGTGTTCCTGCTGTTAGGACAAAAATGGATGTCTAGCTTTACTCAAGCCTTATTTTTGACTAAGCAGACAGACCAATAGTGATCTGCAATATCGACCACAGTCAGAATACTAGCAGGTGATTAAAAATAAATGAATGAATGAATGAATGAGAGCTTTGGGATAAAAGGTAAAGCCAGCATTATTCCTGCTCAAAGGGGCTTACATCTGACTGGTACAAAGGTGCACAATGGTCTCTCACATGTGCCATATGTCTCTGTCAAAATGATCTGCTGTCATAAATGACACACCAGTTCAGGAGAAAATACTCCTTACTTAACAGGGAGCAGACTTCCCTACAATATTTTTCCTGAGCTTGTCTAGTTTTGTTTTAAAGTTGCTGTGGGCAAGTGGCAAATACTCCACGCAACAAACCAAAAAGCAAAAATAAATCTTAATTTCTCTGATACAATGCACCACACCATGGAACAAGTTTGTCTTACAAGCCAAACCCACTGTAAATCAAACACCAGCAAACAGGTCATGAGCACTGTCAGACAAAATTAATAGCACTAATTATTAACAAAGATGGGGGGAAGGGATAGAAGTGAGTGTGGTAAAACTAGGATGCTGTAAAAATGTATTAAAGAAAAATAAATATAACGCCAAGAACAGAAAGTCAAAAAAGAGAAGGAAGAAAGGGCTGAAACTCCAACTGAACCAAACTATGACAAAGAAAAAGAGGAAGGTAAAATATAAGGAAAGACAGGAAAAAAGGGTAGAGAAGTCAACTACAGGCCTGGCACAGCATGCTTGGAACTGGAAAAAAACAGAGAGAATAAATGCTTGGGGAGAAAAAAAAGGTTGAAGCAGAGTGTGAAGGGATTTCTCATACAGCATAACTCCTCACCTAGGCTAGTTAGTGGCACTGGATGCCCTTCCCTTTTTTGCTCCTTCTGAAAGCACTGATTAGTTAGCCATGGAAATGGTGTATTACGAGGATGTCACAGGAAACAGGAGGATTGTGCTAAGCAATTTAGGGGCTAAGTCGAAATGCTTTGAATTATTATTATTTTTTCATTGTCATGCTGTCAGCTGTTAGCTTATGAAAGCAAAATGAATAATGACATATTAACCTGTTTTTTTTTGGAGGGCAAGGGAGAGGAAATAGTAGACTAACAGTGGACACTCTGTTTTTATACTGAAGGAAAAATTGCACTGACTCCAGGAGGTTTGCTTCTGGCTGACGCTGTTGCAAATGTGCTGGGCAGCTGACTGGTGATGACCTGACTGGGTTTGCCAGCTGCCTGAGGCTTGTTGCTTATATGTGGGGTTTTTCTGGGTGCTCACTCAGTGCAGGGCATGGGGGATGCAGAGAGGGAGCAGGGCTATGGGTGCAGCCCTGAGCAATGCTCCTAGCACCAGCAAGTCTGCTTGGACTACAGGTATTGATGGGCATGGGAAATTAAATTCCTGGAATCTGCTTTCATAGCCTTAGTTCCCTTTTGTGCCCTTAGAAATGAGGCCCTAAGAACAATGCAGCTTGACACGGTGTGCATGAATGCTGGTGCTGCCATGCCCTCCCTCAAACTCTGGGGGCAAGCTCTGCCTAGGAAAGCACATGCACCTGGGCATGTCATGCCAGCGAACCAGCAAGCTCTCACGTAAACCTGGCTGTGCTCCTGGCTAACAGGGGACAGCCGGGGCTAAATGGGGGGTGCCCTGGTGGTCTGCAGGGGCCAGTGTGGGTGACAGGGATGCTGGCAGCTGGAACAGGACTGGGATTCTGGTCAAGACTCTGCAGATGGCATGGTACCTCAAAGACAAGCCTTGGACTCTCTGTTTAAGGCCAAGAAGAGTTTTGCAAAGAACTTCTGTGGGGCACTTGTGGTTACACTACATCTTGCCCCAAAACAGCCTTCTGTCCCTGACCAGTGTTAAAGTTTATGGAGTCAGTTACTGACACCCAACTAAATAACACTGATGCTGACAGAACAACCTTGGAAAAAATGAAAAGCAGCCTTGCAGGAAAGTCTAAAGAATTGTATGTGCAGTGAGAATTTTGGAAAGATTTTAGCCTGTTAAGTAGTGAAAATAATTTGAATAATTTTTTTACGCTACAGAATGCTAGGCAAATCAAATCAGCGTAAGACTTAAGGTATTACATAGGCAGCCTTTCAAATATGCAATTAATTTCACATCACTCTAATTTATACATAACTGATGATATATGAGGTCTTAAATTTTCTCTATTTTAAAGCTTTTCTTCTTACAGATCCCTTGAGATTTTTAAAAGAATTTAATTCCAAGAAGTTGATCTGCTGATGCAATTTCATATATAAAGCAAAATTTGCATGTTAGTTTTTTTAAAGGATTTTAATTTAACCCCTCATATGTTAATGTAGCTATGTATCTTCCACTATAATCTAATATGTATTAGTGGGAATGAATGCTAACTTAGGATAATAATAAAAACAAAAATAAGATAGGTTGTGAGGGAATTTTTAAATTTGGGCTTGTAATTGGTTTTCCACAGTTCACAGTTTAAGCTAATGACATTTTGTAGGGGCATTTTTAATAAGAACATGAACTAAAACTGCCTCACCATCTGTTTTTTGTTTTTTTTTTTATTATTTATCAATAATTATAGGATATCCCAAACTAAAATTGACCTGAATTTCAAGTTAGCCTGGTCAAGAAATGCATTATTTGTACTGCTGAATACAAATAGCTAGTCAGATAAGTACAGTCTATTAATGAAGACTTAAAAGATCTATTTCTATTATATTTAAAGCTGAAGTGTGAAAATGGTACCCACTGCCAATGTTCTTGTTGAGTTTAATTTTAGAAATATTGAATATATTTGCTGATTTGAGAATCTAGACTCTAGCTGTAAACTTCTACTTAAATTCCTAAATAACTTTCAGTCCACTTCAAATTCACAGACCTGGAAAGGAATGCATATATGCATATCATTTACAGATATGTACTGATTTACATATGATGTGTAACCACCTAAATGTGTTTAGACATAAAACTTTACTTGAAAATCAGAGCTCAACACTGCAAATTTGCAGAATTTTAAGTGGCCATAACAGTTTCTCTCTTTTAATACACTAGTTAGACATTTTGCTTAACACTTACAGTGTTTCCAAAACCTGGCAACCCAAGAAAAGCTCACCAAAAGCAGATATCAAAACTTGTCAAATCTATACAGCAGAAAAAGGAATGTACACTGTGTTCTGATCACTTCAGTAATTCCTAGATCTCCTTAAATCTGGAATATCCTATCAATATTATCATTTTAGTGAACTGATCTCCACTAACACTTTGACAAGGGTTGTTGTTATAGCTGTATGATCCCTTTTAAAGCATAATGAAATTGGTTAGGAATTGAAAAGGGGAAGTGGAGGGAAATAAAATAAAAAGGGGTTTATCTCTCAGGGTCTAGAATCTGCAGGCTAAAAGGAATGATTGGTCCATACCCATAAATTCAATCCCAAGATGCTCTGCCAATGCAGAAAGTTGTCAAAAAAAAGAAAGAAAAAGGAAAAAGTTTCAGAAAAGAGCAATACACTGTACTTAAAAATAAATTACATATGAGAATTATAGCTATTCTGTGTCTTCACATGAAACAGGACAAAGGGTGCATGGTTATGTGGGCAGTTGCTTAAGTGCACCTTTCTTAGTTATGTTACTAGGCCTTCTGCAAGGCCATACACAAAAATATGTATACATGGGGCATCTGAGCAGCCACAGTCCAGGGAATGCAGGAGGAACCATTAACCCTTAAAGATCTTACTGAGATGAGCAGAGCTGTGGCCTGAGAATACTATGGGCAATGGCTGATTGTTTTCACAGGGGAACATGACAGCAAAGGGATGCTTTACAAAGGGCAGCATACCCCTGTAAATGGGTTGTGCATTGCTCTCCCTCCTGGCTGTGCTTCTGTACCCAGAATGCGTATCCTTGCTCTTGAAGGTTGTGACCTGGAGGTGGCTGGCACTGCTTACTCAGTAGTGGGAG